AATCTAATATCCACTTAATGATCCTACAATACTTGTACGTAACCATCAACCTTCTCTACAGACGAGCTTCCACATCACAGCCTACTTCAAATATTACGGCCACAGATCCCACTCAAGGCTTCACAAGCACATCACAAGAAGACAGCAAAGATGTTTGACAAGTTTTTATTATATTATAAAATAAATAAACGAAAATAAAAATACAGCTAACCACGACCACCCCCCCCCCCACGGATAACCCACCTTAGCACCCCAGTTTGACCCCCCACCACCATCCCCAAGGGGCCGCCAAGACCAAAAGGTGCTGCAGTACAAGAGCCCTGCAGGAGAATACATTCTTGACATGAATGAATCTCCTGCATGCATGGGCCCAGCAGCTCTGTCGCACCGCGCAATCACGTGCACTGATGTATTCTTCTCCGTTCAATGCTTCGATGCACACCGGAGAAGAAATGCATCATGGGGATTAAGGTCACCCATGATGTCATCAGCCTTGGCATCCCTTCCTCGAGAGGATGCACAGGTAGTGGCTTGCCCACGCACCTGGCGAAGGAAGGAAGGGAGTGGCGGAGGGAGGGATAACCCCTTGAGGCTCTCCCGAGTTTTCAATCCAGGGCCGAACCAGGAGAATCTGAGTTGCCTCACCCTTTTCTCCCGAGAGATGTCCGGCGCCGGGATGAGGCCCCGCGGCTTGACCGCGGAGATGGCTGGCGGCGAGATGAGGTCCCGCAGCTTGATCGGGGAGATGGTTGCGGCCGGTAGATGTTTCCCAGAGGAGGGAGGGAACAATGTGTTTTGCTCGGTGTTCCCTCCCCTTGTTGGGCTTTGATGATGCTAGCAGTACTAGCGTCCCACAGGAATCCTCTATGTTACTGGTTAGCAGGTGTTCTGAAAGGTTGGGAATAGACAAAGGAGGTAGCTACACACACTTGCTCGGCTCCTCTGGTATTTTTATGGGCTGGGAGAAATGTGTTCTCCCAGGAGAGAGGGCACCGAGGGCCTTCTGCAAAGATAGCATCGAATGCGGCCGGCCCCCAGGACTTCAACCGAGAGCCCCACCTTGAAGGGAATTAAATGAGTATCAGTCGATAAAATACAAGAGGGGAGAGATGTGGAAGAAAAAAAGAATGCAAGGCAGAGAATACAGAGGGCGGAAGAGGAGATATTTCTACCGGCAAGAGGAGAGATACACACCTTCTTCTGGGAGCCGTCAGGGGAGCCAGACGTTTCCTCGGTCTCGGTCTCATCGGTCGGCAAAGTTGATGCCTCCTGTGTTTGGTCTATATTTATCAGCAAATGATAAAACAGCACAATCAATGAAAGGAAATAAGATACACACCAGGAGAGACCAGTTGCAGTACAGTCACCCCACAAGAATTGAATTGAGGTGGTGGTGGAAGGGGGGGGGGGATGCAGTCGGAGCTGCACTATGAAACAGATGAGCAAGATACAAAACAAGAAGTCCAAACAAAATATCGAAAGTAAACAAACACATACCTGACAGGGCAGCGTCAGTACAATTGCCCTACAAGAATAGCGTATTGCCGTTGCTCGGACTTGGGGGGGGGGGGGGGGTGGGAAGTGTTCCATCCATTCGCCCCGCCACAATATCTAAATACTTATTTAGTAAACGTCAAGACAATTAATCAATCAAAAAAAGAAGAAAGGACTCACCGGCATAAACCACCGACCGCCCCTCACAGGGGCAGCAATTGTGCCTACAGTGGAAATACTACTATTAGTAAAAGTACAAAACAACATACCCAAAGCCAAACACTAAAAGTAAACAAAATACATACCCCAGGGAGCCAGTTGCACTCCAGGAGTGCGAAACACACACCAGGGCACCCGTTGCTCGGGACAACGTAACCCCTCTTCCACCCCCGAGTTCTCCTTCATCTCTTTGACTGCCTAACTATTTATTCAGTATCAAGAAAATCACCCTTTCAAAAGGAAAAGAAACTCACGTGGACCATCCCCCACCCCCTCACGTCCCCCAAATGGGGCCCTAAATCACCACTCATGCTGCCGGAAAGGTGGCAGTCAGAGCTGCAATGGGAATATCAGTAGTCTATAAATTACATTAGTAAAAAGAAAAAATAAACCGAAACAAAAAAAAAAAATGGAAAGAAACAAGTACACACCCCTCCAGACCAGCTACGGCAGTACAACCACCCCACAAGAATGGCATAATGCCGCTTCAGGGACGTCCCGGGAAATGGAAAATCTCCCATCCCCTCCCCTCTCCCCTCTAGTGGAATTCGCCTAACCACTTATTTAGCAAAAGAAAAACGTCGAACCAATCAAATATATCCAAAGGAATTCAAGAAGAAGAAAACACTCACCAATATGATTTCTAAAATCACTGGCAGCCCCCTCATGCCCTGGCCCTCCAGACTGCACAGGAATAAAGATTCCAACAGTCTTTCAGCCCATGCCCATGCCCATGCCCACTTCCGGCCCGGCACCCCACGAAGGGGAGGCAGTAACCCCCAGAGTGATTGTGGGAGGTCTACAATATAAAAAAAACATTAGCAAAAAAACCAAAAAGTCAAGAAACCAAAAGAAAAAAAGAAGAAAAAAACACGGAAAGGAATCCAAACAAACCTATGTCTTTGAAGACAAGCCTCCACCACAACAGTGGTAAAGATTGTAAGCCGGCAGCCCCGCACAAGAATATGCTGGCAGGAGCACCGACGGAGGCCTGTCGATATCCCACAGCATACAGAGAATTAAAGCAGAGGGCGAGATGAATAAATCTCGCCTTGCTCTCTGTGCGGGGGAGGGAGGGGAGGGGAGGGGAACAGTACAGTCACCCTACAAGAGAGGGCGAGGAGGAGGCCTAGGGGGAGGAGGCGGAGGAGGCGAGAAGAAGCCATAAGTAGGAAACTTAGGACCGACGGAGAGAGATGGAGAGATGGAGAGAGGAGGAGAGAGGAGAGAGAGATGGAGAAAAGAAGGGGACTGAGAGAGGGAGTGGGGAGAGAGATGGATTTTGGCGAAGTATGGGAGAGGCGGTATCTCGACAGAGGAAGGGTTTGGGAGAGAGAAGAAGGCAGGAGGTGGTTTTGGCGATGGATGGATGGATGGATGGATGGAGGAGTAGGAGAGAGAGGAGAAAGAAGAAGGGAGAAGGATAGACGGAGGAGTGTAAGAGAGAGGAGAAGGAAGAAGGGGGAGGGGGGTGCTTCGGTGGATAATAAAAAGGAAAGGGACAAGGAGGAGCTAAGAGGGTTTGTTATGATGCCGGGTGGGAGGCTAGCCAGAGGGTGGAGCATGCTTGACCCGCCATGCCGCCTACTTCTAGGGCGAGCCACATACGAGCAGTAGCCCATGTGCCTGCCTTGTCTTCGTTCGACGCGGGAAGACTACGGGGATGCAAAAAAAATTGATCTGACATGTCGTCTTACTGCTGGAGGGGCGCTATAGTAGTATCCCCATCAAGCCTACTACTATTGATTCGATATCGATTGTGGGCGTGCGGTTCGCAAGGGGTGATGTCCGACATCGAGGATAGCCGGCGTATAGGTGGAGACAGAAAAAAAGACTTGTAAATGGGTGTAGTAGAAACACTGTAACCCGAATATTCTATAGATACTAGTGTCAATGATCATACATCCCCGCATTCCCCCTCATTCCCCCTCTCCCTCCACCACCCACCACCCACTCCCACCATCCCCGCCTTTTACACCCCCCCCCCCCAAGACCCATCTTAAAAGCCTCCCGTACAGTCCCAACCTTCATCCCCCCACTCACGCACCACACACACACAAATCCACCATCTCCCGTTCCCGCTGCACATAACGGCCCACCAGTCATTGACTGCAATCACAGGAAAGCACTCGGCCGAGTGAGCGTTTGTGATTCTGTACTTGGCTAACTTGAAGCGGTGTGCCTATTGTATGTGGGTTGCCGGGATTATTAGTTCTTAGTGCATGAGACGGGACAGGGGTGTGAGTGTGCGGGTATGCGTGGGCAGTGAGTGAGTGGCTAGTGTAGTGGGCAGTGAGTGAGTGGCTAGTGTAGTGGGCGGGTCATGGCGTGTCACTCTGCTGCATCTGCATGTACATACGTTCACGGGTGCTCACTCGCGGTGTTTGCGTGGGGGCTGTTGTTGTCGAGGATCAGTGGGCGAGATTTGGTGAGCGGGTAGGGTACATGTAGGGAGGGGTTATGGCAGTCTCTAGGCTCGTCCCCAACCCGTCTACTTCCATGCTTCCAGATCTACAGGACGGGCTAGTGCTATATCTCCCCGACTTGGGAGAGTTCTTTTTGTATGGGGCGTCGGCTGTCGGGGTGGCTGTCGGACTCATTTACATACAAAAATAAACCTTTTTCCTTTAGCTTCCGACATCAAAATTAAGGTTTATTCTGATCCCGATATCACATTTCGGGCTTTTATATCACAAGTCGGCCTTCTATGTCATACCCTCGGCCTTCTATATCATATTGTCGGCCTTTATATCACAAGTCGGGCCCCTACATCACAATTCAGAGCCCGATAGCACACTTCAGAGGCCGTCGACACGAGTGTCGGCCGGCATTTGTCGGGGAGATACCTTTAGCACTAGACCGTACTGTGGCAGCTCGCTGCAAGCATGAAAGAAGACGAGCTGGGGACGAGCCTAGGGTTATGGCACGTGTGAAAAGATGATGGATGAATGCGGTGATTGTGGGAATGGAATAAATTGCTGGTTAGTTATTACTTTCATTTTTGTTTGGTGACGTTGGGCGCGGGGGTGCCTGTATGTCTGCTGCATTGTGGCTTTGGGATTCCTGTAATTGAAAAAATTCACGCATGCCGGAGTGTTTCAATCCTATCATGAGAGCAAGCGCACAAGAGAAAAATATTCAACTAAATTAGAGTCTTCTTTAAAAGTATATAATCCATCTATGCCCTCCCGCCATAACCACAGACCCCCCCCCCCCGCCCCCCAGTGCACCTCCCACCCACCACTACTGCACAAACTCCATCTCCGGATACCTCTCATCCGCCCCACTCAACACCCTCCTCCCCTTCTCCGCCGCCCTCCTCCCCCAACCACCATATCCACAAACGCACCTATATACACCTTCTGCGCCTCCAACGCCCTCAACCCATCACCACTCCCCACCAGCTCCTCCGCCACCTCCGGCATCACAGCCCTCAGCCCCAGCAGCTCCACAATCAGCACCGCATCCGAAAACGTTATATGCTTCGCCGCCGCCAAATGCAGCTCCCTCCTCCACCCGCGCAGCTTCGCCCACAGCCGCCCCCATGACTCGTAGGTAGCCACGTAGTGCTCCGCGGCACCAATGAACATGAACGACCCGCTGAAGCCCGTGTTGACCACGTCCCCCCAGATGGTGCCGTCCATGGCGATGCCGCCGAGCACGCGGCTGTCCGCGCCCATGACTGTGGCGGCCGTCGAGCCGCCGAGGGAGTGGCCGACCATGACGATCTTGCCTGGCTTGGTGATGCGATCGGCACCTGGGATGGCGCGCAGGATTGTGGAGAGGTGGTCCAGGGTGTAGATTGTGTCTCCGACACGAGTGGCCTCGAGGGGGACGACGTCGGCATCGGTGAAGTTGGTGAAGGTGGAGAGGATGTAGGTGCCGTCGGAGAACTCGACGATTTCGGCTCCGTAGATGTAGTCTGGGAGGAGGACGACGTAACCGTTCGAGGCGATGTCCTCGGCGAGGGCGGTGTGCAGGTGGCGCGAGGTTTGGGCGCCGGGGGAGAGGATGACGATGCCGGGTTTGCAGGGACCCGCGTAGGTGGCGTTGGTGTGCGAGTGGGGTTGAAGGGTGTTGAGGGAGCCGCTGGGGAGGCCGTAGCTCGTTTCGTAGAAGTTGGCGGTGGCGGGGGGCATGTAGGGTTCGAGGGGGGCCGTGGTGGAGTTGTCAGTAGGGTAGAAAAGTTGCACGACGAAGGAGCGGGGGGTGTTGGGCGTGGGCGCCAGGATGTCGGTGCGGTTTGTGTCGGTCACCTTGATAGATGTGGTGCCGACATTGTAACTGCCGGAGAGCGGGGGAAAGGCGATCTTGGCGGAGGCCGAGTTGAGGAGGAACAGTGGGAGGAGGAGGAGAGTACTGGAAAGCATCGTGAGTGCCGCTCTTTGTTAATTGCGTATAGAAGCTGTCTGGCGATTTACTCGGGTCATTGAAGTCGTTTGGGGGGGGGGGGGGGGGGCTGCGAGGACTTATATAGAGATATATCAACACCATCATGTACGATACTACATGTAATTGGAGCACTGTATATGCATAGCCAATGCCCATTAAAGCTTAATACCGCAAATTATGCATTCTGCCTTGCCAGTGATACATACATATGTAATCAGTTCACTTTACTGCCCTTCTCTCGTAAGAATGCGTGCCCTTCTACAACCCAACTACAAGCAGAGTTACCAAGGACACCGTCATCTCCAATACGAATTGCCCTGAACGAAGTGAAGGGTATGGGGGTAAGAGCTTATATCGCTCTCTGATTGGCTACCGCATATTGTGACCATCAACCCTAACCCAACATAACATACATATCAATATTCCATTCATACGGGCCATTGCGTAGCTGCGAGGAGTCAGAGTCAGAGTCTGGGGATGTCGTGCCAAGTATATTAACTCATTCCGCATCTGCACAACGTCTCTCGCTCTCATCCGACTGGCGGTCGTGCGTGGTAACACAAATATCACCCAAAAACACCGCAACGTTACACCACCACTAGCCCTGCGTACGTAACCCCCGTTCCCGTCCCCTGCCCGCGCAGGGAAGGAGCCAAGGAGCGACGAAGGGAGCAGAGGTTCTTAAGCTTAAAAACGCACAAGGCAGACCTCCCGAGTCTGTCGGGGCCTGTCGACTAAAACCTATTACGTTTTGCTGGAGGAGATTATCATGGATACATGCATTGATGTAGGTATGTACATGTAGGTACATGTATGTGGGCGAGGGTCTGGTGATTAATCTTGGACAAGACCGCGCTCTGTAATCTATATTATGTAGGTATGAGCAATCAAACTACTCCAGAGTAATCCTGGAACTAGTCTCGTACCCAGCCCGTTACTTGCAGCAAGCTCCTGGAAGCATGGAAGTAGAGTAGACGGGTTTGGGACGAGCCTATCCTGGAACCCCTTCCGGAAGCTTCTGTTCCCGCCTGGATATAGATCCGAATAGGGTTATTATTACCCGAGACATGCAGAAGGAAGCCCAGGCCAGATGACTTGGTGTGAGTTGAAGAAATTGGGATAACGGTGATCTGATCTGATGACTGCGCCTGTACTGGTATGTGGAGGGTTGTAAACTTTCTCATAGACGCGTCAGCAAGTCATGAACTCTGCTGTTTGGCTCTGGAAGGGGTACGGTGCCTTTCGGAGGTGCGTGCAGTTAGGTGTTCTGTGCATGGCTGGTTCTGGGGTAATGTTTGGACTGGAGAGCCACTTATTGTGTGGCGCTCTACTCTCTCGGTTATAATTAAGAAAAAATGATTATAAACAACCCGATAGAAGTCTAGGAGGGTTAAATAGGTATTTCTGTTGAGGTTGAGACATCGTTGTCTGGTTTTAGGTCATGATAGTCTGGCTCAGAACGTTGGGATATATTGTGCTTGAGCCTCACACCGCATAATAAATAGCCCTAACCCACGAACAGGGTCAATGATTGAACCTGTTGTGTTAATGTCGCTCAGCGCAGACACCCATGGGGACAGTATTATCTAATACTCGGGGGGTAGACCTGGGGAACGTCGTATCAGTAATGCTGCCCTAAACAAAGTTAATGCGAAAAAAGACATGTGAACACGTCGTGTGGGGAGAATCTGCACCTTAGTTTTTGTAACGATGTAGTTCCATCTGCCTTCCCCTTCTGGATTGTACCCTTAAACAACCATACACTCCCCCCGTCATACCCACCATGCAGTTCACCTCCACCGCAAAAACCCACACCCCCCCCAAAAAAGCCAAACGCCGCCCCCCGTCATGCCGCCTCCCCGCCCCCACCAACGACCCCCCAGTACGTACAACATCGCCCCACCACCACCTTCCTACTACCTCCTCCACACCTTCCCAGCACGCCGCTTAACCCCACCCCCATCATAGAGACCCCACTAAGTCACTTCTGGCCCATCATGCTGGTGAGGTGGACGGGTCTTACGGACATTCTGCCACCGAGCTGGTTCCGCCCGTCGCATAAGGCGCATGCGGAGCTCGTTGAGCAGTTTGGCCTTCTAAGGGGGTGCCTTTTTGCTAGTTGGGGCATGTTGCGGGTGCTGAGTGATGGGAGAGTGAGGGGTGAGATCGGGGCGGTAGTGGTTGCGGCGGTGGGGAGTGTTGAGCTGGGGTTAGGTTAGTTCCCTCGGTATGAGCTCGTAGTAGAGCAGCGGGGAATGAAAGAGTGAAGTACACTAACGGTGATATGATTGGCCAGATTGTGGGATTCCAGGAGGAGTGCGGGATTGCAGACGAAGACCTACTGGGCACGATGATGAAAAAGAGCTTTCTGTAGAGGTAGGATGTGCAGGTGATGATTGAGCGCGTTGTTCCGGTGGAGGAGAGAGAGCGGGGTGCGGTGGATCATACTTGCTTTGTGGCTATGATTAGGCTGCTGAGGCGTATGGTGGATTGTGCGGGGTATGATAGGGCTGGAAAGGTGCGAGCACTAGGTGCTTGAGGTGGAGATTGGTTGTTGGAGGGATTGGTTGGTTAATGAGAGTTATTTGACGGCCACGGCGGTCACGGCGGTCATGACGGGCGCCATGGCTGCGATTTGTGTTTGAGTTATGGTTTCTGGTTGAGAATGATTTGAGTATCGAGAGTCCGGTTAAATGTCTCTCCAAGAAGACAGGAACCGCTGATGATAGTATAACATAAAAAAATTGGAGTTGAGCTTCCAACTCAGAACTGCATTTTAATGAAGCCGAGCAGGCCCAGTGAAATATTCTTCTTTCGGCGGGGAATAACAGAGATTGCATGAATATGGTGTGTAAAGACGGGCATGGGTGGCCACTGTACTCGTCGTTGAATAGGTTCTCCGTCTTCTGACTGAAATTGATTCTGCACGCTTCATATTGTTAATAAGATTTCTGGACGCTTGCTTGTTATGCTGAATAGACCTACATAAATCTGGAAAAATGATCGAGTACTTGAGCGTTGGCTTTACCGTCAAGAGTTAAATTTAGCTTTATCATAGTAGTGATAAACCTTAGATCCAGAAGACACATCTCCACATCCGATGTTCATTCTGCTTTTATGGCGGGTGAACTTTCGTGATGTCAAAGTCACTAGATGATCGATTTATTTCTTGGTTACGGAGGTGTGTAAAATGTGTTAGTGGAACGTGGCTGAAGCCTTGAATAACCGAATCAATATCGTCGATTCCATGTACTAGAGTATTTCGTAGCTAGAAGAAATCATCGAAAAAGAAAACTCGAACCATAAAGCTGCCAATATGACATGACATAATCTGGCCAAATATCATTTGGCTGTATGTGAAATAGTTCTCTGGAATCAAATGTGGTACCAAGCGCGATTTCTCAAGGTGGCTTCTCTTGAAATAGGACGCTCGGCACGTTTCATAGTTCTGGAAGATTCTCATCATTTCATAATAGTATTTGTCATCGGCGTATGACTCACTTTCCTATTAGTCATTCTATTACTCACACGTCTATGACTCATTGTATTTCTTTTGTACTACCTTTCATTAGTATAAAAGCGGGGCATTCCCCCTTAGCTAGAACAATAACACGATCAATTACTTTACTTCTCCTACATACTTTCTCTAGGTTATGAGCCCGGAGACCACTCACGCTTATACACTCTTCACCATTTTTACCACAAAGTACACTTTCTCGTTTCACTTTCAATCATGTCTGAGAGGAGCATCAAAATTCCCGCACTCCCATGCAAGCTGGATGGTCAAGGGCATTACACTGTATGAAGGGACCTTGCTACCCGCATGTTGAAAGTTCACGATCTGTGGAACTTGGTCAATGGTTCGAGCAAGCGTCCCGTGTTGACAACCACCACTACTGTACCTACCACGGCACCACAAGCATCAGGAAGCACTGCTGAGGCTGAAGAAGACGAAGAAGAAACCTCCGACAATGCCGAAGAAATCAGCGATTGGGACAAAAAGGATAACCTTGCGGTCGTATTCCTCCAATCTAACATCGAATTTGAAGTTATTCTCACGCTGACACCGGCCGACACTGCTCATCACCTCTGGACTCAACTTGAGGACAGATTCGATCGGAAAACCGTCGCCTCCCTCCACTCGCTCCTCGCAAATGTCGTCACACTACAATACACACCCGACAAGGGCATCAAGGAACATCTAACCCAGTTCAACACTCTTTGGTCATCTCTCCTCACTAGGACTAGTAACTCTACGGACAAGACCAAGGATCCACTCGGTTACCACCTTCACCAACTCGCATCTGTCTCAGAAGCGAAGGCATCCTTCCTACTCCTCTCACTCCGGCACGAATCCCTCGAATCAGTCGTTGACAACCTGCAAACCAAGCCCAACGTCACCTTCGATGACGTCTACGAAAAGCTGTTGGATCTGGACTCACGGCGCAGCAACGATGGACAGGCGGCTGGAGAAGCCTACACAATCAGGCGAGGAAACCCAGGACACGGAAACAACAACAGAGTCAGGAGGCCACGTAACAACGAAACAGGAAATCGGGACGTCACATGCACCTGGTGCACCAAGAATGGAGAATATGCAAAAGGCCACACGCACAAAAATTGCCGGAAACTCAAAGCTTTCAGAGACAAGGAGAAGTCCGCTGCATCTGGCAACCTCAACGTCGCATCTGGTACTGCATTTCACACAAAACTCGAGCTCTCTTGGATCCCCGATCTTTCTGGCCTTCCCGCACTCGAAGAAACCGATGTATTCACAATGCCGGTTGACTTCGACCTCACCAACTTCTCAGATGACACCTCGGATATTACCATGGAAGACTACTTTGGCTTCATTGCAGGACCTTCCACCACCGACAACAAGGCATGGATCTTCGACCCTGTTGCAACCAACCACATGACCGGAACGCTGGTTACCGACTGTTACGAACTCCTACCGCAACACGAAGGAAGCCTGAGTCATCGGAAAGTGCCGGAAGTTTCTGCGAAGGATTAGTAATCGGGTTGTTTCCTTTTCTTATATATAGGGGGCTTGCCCCCTCACTGTCTACTTCTTTCCTTACGCAACATCTTGTATTTTACTTTGAGTTATTACTTTGGGGGATTTACTTCGCTTCAATACACTTCTTTACTCTCAGTCCCCGTTACGTCTGCTGCCCATCATGCTCTTCGCATCCGCCGTTATGTTCCTCATCGTCGCCCTCGTGGCCCTCTGCTCGCCTACCCCGCTGTTCCCCTCGGCCCCCTCGCCGACCGCTGTCTCCTCCGTCCTAGTACGGACCATTGTCCCTGCCCTCGGGCACATCGCTGACTCCACCCTCGTCATCGTGCGAGCCTACTTTCTCCTTCCCAGGAGCCCCCTAGTGTCCTTCGACCCCATTACCAAGCCTTCGCACACGGTCTCTTACACCGACCCAACTCCCCACACTGGAACAGTTACTGTTGGAGGAGGTCGCAAACTCCAGATAACCGGAATTGGCAACGTCACCATCAACGGATCACATGGCCTGATCACTCTGCAGAACGTATTCTTGATCCCCGAACTAGGCAATACCAACCTGATGTCTTGGTCTTGCATCGCTAAAAAGGGATTTACAACAACTGGGACGGAAGACGGCTTTACCATCTACAAACCGAATAGCAAGGAAATCATCGGGATCGCTAACGCAAATAGTACTGGTCTTTACATCTTTGAAACCAAGGAACCCTGCGCACACCTCTCTGCCGCCACCAGCTTCTATGACTGGCACCAACGGCTCGGACATCTCCCCGCTTCCTCGCTCTCACGGCTTCGCACCATGGTCGCCGACCCCAAGTCTCTCCCCACATCTGGTCACATGGAAACCTGCAACACATGTGAACTCGCTAAATCAACCAAGTCTCACCTCGCTCCTCTCACCGAACCACAATCCAAACAACCACTGGAATTGATACACTCAGATCTGAGCGGCAAATTCTCGACTCCTTCTCTGGGCGGCTTCAGTTACTACATCACTTTCATCGACGATTACTCCAGGTACGCTTACCTCTACTTCCTCAAAAAGAAGTCAGATGCAGCAGCTGCCACAGAACGATACATCGCATACATGGAAAATCAATTGGACAAAACGGTTAAACGGTTTCGAAGCGACAACGGTGGCGAGTACATCTCCAATGACCTTCAACAATTTTTCACCTCTAAAGGCATAAAGCATGAATTCACTGTACCTTACTCCCATGAGTCAAATGGAACAGCAGAACGCTTTAATAGAACTATATCAACAATGGCACGATCCGCCTTGCTCGACCACAATCTCCCAAAAAATCTATGGGCAGAAGCGATCAACACCATGGTACACGTCAAAAATCGCCTCCCGCACAAATCACTCCCGAATATGACACCATACGAAGCACTTACCGGAAAGAAACCCTTTATTGGGCACCTCTGATCCTTCGGTGAAACAATGTTCATACACATACCCGTCGAAGCACGACCAGCTGGAACAAAACTGGATGCAAGGGCTATAACGGGACAATTCTGCGGATATGGAGACTCTGAAAAAATCTGTCGCGTTTACATACCATCACAAAGAAAAGTAGTTCTCTCTCGTCATTTTAGGTTTAAAGGTACATCCGTAGGGGAAGAAATCGAAGTCAAAACAAAAACCGATACACCCCCTAAACCAAAACAAATCGAGATCAAACAAGAACCACCCTCACGTCCTTCAACACCAAAAAAATACAGGACATACGACGACGACCCAAGTGACGACGACATGATCAACCAACAGATAATGCGTGAAACCATGGAACATTTCTCCGACACCGATTCGGAGGACCACGCAAGTATAGTGGGGGCCGGCTATACGAGGCCCGCCACTGAACGTACCCCGCATGATGATAATGAAACAGATACTGATCAACCGAGACGTAACCCAGTACGGGAACGGAAACCTCCGGTCAGATACGGACACAACATTCAGCATGACACTACCCTAACAGAACCAACAAACTACCACCAAGCGATCAACAGTCCTGACTCCGAAAAATGGCAGAATGCTATGAAAGTTGAACTCGACTCACTCGCAAGGAATAACACATGGAATCTGGTCAACACACCGGATCACCGTAAACTGGTCGACTGCAAATGGGTATACAAAATCAAACTCGGGCCCGATGGCAACCCCATACGGTACAAAACCCGACTAGTCGCAAAAGGCTTCTCACAGGTCCCTGGTCAAGATTTCGATCAAACCTATGCCCCTATCACCCGATACGAATCCATCAGACTACTCCTCGCTCGCTGCCTTCAAACCGGCGGCCAATGCGATCCGATGGACGTCACAAGTGCATTTCTATACGGCGAACTCAAGGAAGAAATCTACATGAAACCTCCTCCAGGATATCCTACTCCCGGCAAAGCATGCAAACTAATCAAATGCATCTACGGCCTCAAACAATCATCAAGGGAATGGTATGCCCGCCTCTCAAAAGCGCTAATCAAAATAGGATTCAGAAAAGCAGACTTCGACCCTTGTGTCTTCATACACAAAACAGGGGAAGTTGTCATCGCAATATACGTAGACGATATCCTCATCTTCTACTGGTCCGTTGAACGCAAAAACCGCGTCAGCCTCCTCCTCCACTCTGAATTCGAAATGACTGAAACTGGCACAGCCAACTGGGCACTCGGAATCCACTTGATCCACACTAAGACAGGCATCATCCTATCACAGGAAGCCTATCTCAAGCGTGTACTTATCAAATACGGCTTCGACGAATCAAGACCTGTGGCAACACCTATCAACAACAACGTCCACCTCCAAAAAGGAACGGAAGCTGAGAAAATCGACGATCCAACAATTTACCAGTCAATGATCGGTTCACTCATGTACGCAGTAATCGGCACTAGACCCGACCTCGCCTACACCGTCACCATGCTCTCGCAATTTTCCTCCTGTCCTACTAAGGCCCATCTAGCTGCAGTCCATCGCGTCCTCCGCTACCTCAAAGGTACCCTCGATTGGTCACTCTTTTACGCCAAAACGCGACCAACTGCACTCATCGGCTACAGCGACGCAAGCTATGCCTCCGACATCGACGATCGCCGCTCATTCACTGGCCACTGCTTCATGCTAGGGGAAGCTCTCATCTCCTGGCGCTCTTATAAGCAACGATCTGTCGCCACTTCTACAACTGAAGCGGAATACATGGCCCTTTCGGACACCAGTCGACAACTGATCTGGTTAAGGAATGCAATCCACGAGCTGGAACGAAAACCGAATCTCTCTTTCATTCTTCGAGGCGACAACAACGGCTCTCTCTCTTTGGTTAAAAATCCTGTCTTTCATAAAAGGTCTAAACATATTGACGTACATTTTCATTTTGTTCGGGAACGGTTTGAGGATGAATTATTTGAACTGGAATATATTTCTACGAACGAGAACGTGGCGGATTTACTTACAAAGGGATTGGATAAAGGCAAACATGTTTTATTTTCTTCTACTATTCACTGTGGCTCACGAGGGGAAGTCTTGAAATAGGACGCTCGGCACGTTTCATAGTTCTGGAAGATTCTCATCATTTCATAATAGTATTTGTCATCGGCGTATGACTCACTTTCCTATTAGTCATTCTATTACTCACACGTCTATGACTCATTGTATTTCTTTTGTACTACCTTTCATTAGTATAAAAGCGGGGCATTCCCCCTTAGCTAGAACAATAACACGATCAATTACTTTACTTCTCCTACATACTTTCTCTAGCTTCTTTCCGGCCATTGTTGATGACCTGGAAGCTGGCAAGGGTGCACTACAAAGGCACTAAACATGTCCTTTCCACCAATTCAACTCGTTCACAACAACCTTACAACCGCTCTCGATGCGAGAACCAGGGCTTTTTGAGAAGCCTAAGTCTCTCTTGTAGGGCGAGTGTACTGCGATAGGTGATGAAATGATACTTCTCTTGATCACCCATATTCGACATCCTGCACAACGTACTTCTCATAGGGTGCTTGTACTGTTCGAGCTGTATCAAGCATCCTCTGTGTCTGTTTGGCTTCTTTACTCGGTTTGATACTTCTTCGATTGTTAGTTGTTGATTCTTGCCTGCTAATATATATTTCTTCTTGGGGAATTAATGCAAGCGACATGTTATGGCCAGCTCTAAAGATGGGGATACCACTGTGGGGCTGCCGGTTCTGGCCCCTGACTGGCGAGGATAACGCCAATATATCTCAATCACAAATAAACATATCGCGATTATGTCCTAATTACATAATATAACGATGAAAAGAAACGATAAACTCTAAAATACCCTTTCTTTTTAGCTGACTCACCCCAGTCGGTAGCTTAGGGGAAGAAATCCTTCAAAATCAACTTGAACTCGGTATATCTATATCCTAATTAGATGTTTATTTGCGGGGTGTCTTATCTGGTATGTTGATATCATCCATATTCTTCTCAATCGGGCATTTATAGCTAACTAACCCACTTACAGAGGTGCCCAAAGAGAGCTCGCATCATCATGCGCCTCGATCGCCCTCCTTCGACTCGCGGTGGGTATTAGGCAGGGGAAACCCATGGGATACACATTCCTATGTATATCATCCCCACTATGGTCATAGTCTATACACATATGTGGTTTGGGAGGTCTAACCTCCGGAGGGGTGACTTGCGGCTCTAGATCAATCTAACCAAATGAGCAATGTCCGTTGTAGCAATTTTGTAAGTTTGGGTTCTGCCTTCGATCCACAAGTTGCAATTCCGTTTCATTAATACGGAGTACAGATTCATAGGATTGCGTCCCCTCCTTCTTTGATGCCCAAAGAGGTCTCGAGAGGATCCGGAACAACCCTGAAAACACAATTGGTAGACATTCGAAACATCAACGTCAGAACCGGCTTGCGGGTTCTGGGTGCCACTTTATTGTATAAATCGCAAAGGGTGTTGATGAATGACGTTTGTCAGACCAATTGAGCAAATAAAGTCAATATTAGGCTTGTAATTGAAAATAGGACTTTTTTTCTGTGCCGTTTTATGTTTCCTCTCTTTCTGTTTATCATGCGCCGCCTCCATCTTGTAAGCATAAATATTCCTTGAGTAACTCCCTGGCAACAGACAAGCATCATCTTACTCTTTCTCTACGTAGCTACGTGAACACAAGCCCACGATGCCAAAAACAACCGGGCACAATAACAACAAATAATAATTAGCTTGACAACAAAAGGTGAATCAAACTGGTTTTCCAACTCTCTGTATCTGAGCTACGGCAAAGATTAAGATTACAAGACACTCCTCACTTTAAGTCTTGCTTTCAGCTCTGGTTTAGTGTAAACTACATGTAGTGTTATTAATCTTCACCAATCCACCCAATCGAAGTCATCCCATTATGTAACTTATTGATATATTACCCACTGATAAGTCTATAACAGTTGAAGTACTTATCCCGACTGATTAATTTATACAGCCACTCTGCAAAAGTGTTCGTGATTCCGATATCGGAGTGAGACATTTCTCCATATGTAACCGCGGTGGGTCATCAAGAACCCCCAAGAGAAGACCTTCCCAGTGACCAATGGCGCCCAAGTTAATGAAGAACAAGACCAACGACCTACCCTCTTTTTATATATAGTCACGAACTATATTATATATTTCTCGTTGTTTTGAATCTCAACTTTAATAACATCAGTATTACGAGCGCGCCACACTGCCCACCGACATTAAAACTATATCACGAACACTTTTGCTGAGTGGCTGTATATAAACTTGAAAAGAAATAAGCTAACTGGGGCTAAACCTGTTCGTTGAATACATAGTAGCTACCAAATCAGAACTACAAGTAGCTAAGTCGTAGCAGACGAGCATGTATGCTTACACCTCGGCCTCGTCGATCGAGGCGCATACATCCCCGAAGGATCAACCCAAGCTATTATAACTCTGTAGCTGATATCACGACCCAAGTATATCGGCTCGGGTATCTCGATTTCGGTGACCTACTCGCGGTTTTCGTATATTTACGTATAACAACCAGTGATGATGGTTCGTGGCTATTACGAGAACGTAGAGCACAAATAGCGTTTATACCTGTGCCCCTATTCGTATCATATCAGGCAGCGTAAAGCGCTTTCGTATTAAATGATAGTATGTAAAGGCCATCACCTCACCAAAGATTACAGATTTTCTTCAAAAAGTGATGACAGTCGAGTAATGGCAAGTGATTGATGATTGATTCTTTTCGTGTACACGACACTCTAGCTACCAAATCCATCTCAAAGATTACCACTTATTATCGCTTCGCACAGATAAGCATTAAGGTAGCAAAGTTAGCCATAGTATTTGGAAAACTATCAACAATTATATCCTTGTCCACATGCATTCCATCGATGACGTGACCTTTGTAGACATTTTTTCTCCCCAACGCATTTCTAACTAAACGCATTTTAGTCATGAAATTTCCTCCTGTTAACACTACCTTAGTAGCGTCTATATCATTCAAAGCAAAAGAAGAAAGAGAAAAGAAAAAAATAACGGTGAGAGGGGGGGGGGGGGGGGAAGAAGGAAGAAAGAAGGGCCATGTCAAGCTATCTAAATTGAGGTATACTCAATTATGTCCTCCATTTCTTATATCATCCATAGCTCGCCATTTTACTCATCTCCGCCAATATTCAACTTTTTATTCTCACCGTTGGCCGAGCTAGCGCGCTTATTATCCTCGCCTTGAAGAGTGTTTACCTCATTGGTACGCTGATCATGTTCTCCAACTGAAGTAGTTTCAACGGTAGAACTGTTGTCACTTGGAGTGGCTTCCAATGCGCTCTGCAAGTTCATCATATTGAACCTCTCCAACCTCTGTCTCATTTCTTGACGTGAGATGCCCCTGTAATATCTGATCGGGGTGAGTGAAAGCTATCGATATTTTCTATTAGAATCGTTTTTCAAAGGTTTCACAGATCTGAATACATACGTTAGGAACGAACTCTTGGAAGTGGTACTCCACGTTCGGGTCCCTTGATCTGTCTGTCAAATGACGAACAAAGCCATCGAGGTGTTCAACAAACGCCTCAATGCGGCGTACTTCCTCCTCTAAAGCTTGCAGGGCTGCTTCATCGAGAAGAATAGGGGGTCCATGAAGAATAGGAGGACCATTGACAATGGGATCCTCCGAGCTTTCGGAAGTGGTACTACCCTGAGAAGTACTCTGAGAAGTGTTGTGAGAGGTAGCCTGAGAAGAAACCTGAGAGGTAACCTCAGAAGTACCCGGTGAGGAAGGCTGAGAGATACCCTGATGTGTACCCTGAGAATCATGCATGGGTGGAATATCATCGTCAAAGAGATGAGTGGTGCTCATTTGGCTATTGCCACTAGCAGAAGGTAGGTTTTCGACACTGCCAACGGAATCATTCTCATTAAGAGGGTAGCGGATACCGCCAACGTATAATTCGTCATCGCGAGCCCCTTCGGGGTGAGCGTTTTCGGGAAATTCATCCCAGGCAGGGCCGGCAATAACGGGGCCCTGCTCCTAATTATATTTTAGTAAAGAACTAAGATGAAAGAAGGGATAACCTACCTCACGCATTTCAAGACGGGCATGCATGGCGGACAAGTCTGAGATGGAGTCTCTGGGAGCTCTACCAGGTTGGATAGATTGATGCATTATGTTTTTGATCGAGAAAGTCTTTAGATTATAAGGAATTGATTCGTGATGAAGAAATCAAGGAATAGCAGTGGGTTTTAGGTAGAAGAGATGATGAAGATGAGAGGTCAAGGTTCTTCACTGAGATACGAGCAGTGAGGACTGAAGAGGGAGATGATGAGGGTGATAGAGATGGAGAAGGAGACGAGAGGAGGAGAAGGAGAAGAAGAAGAAGAGGGGGAGAGAGAGGCTAGTTATACTCAAACACGACAGGGTCCAGGCGACCTGTCAAGTAAGAGCTTAAACTGCTCCTCCTGGCGTATACGCTCGATTGAGGCCAGAAATGCAGAGTCTATTATTCTCCCCCATTTAGCTGCATACATATATATGCTAAAAATTGATCAAATATCTCAAAACTCACTCGTCCCATCACAAGAACACTATAACTCAATGATAAAAGGATAATTTCATGTATATCCTTTCTCCCCCCTCGACATGTTCAAACTTATCAACGAAAATCTATGGAGTATCGAACGCCGATAGGGCCCGAGTGATATATCATGAAGGGCTGTACTGCGCAACCACAGGAGGTGTGCGAATGTCCGGGACGCTAGTGAATACTTGGTACAACCTATATCGGTTAATCCCTCTAACTGACTTCGAGTAAGTTGATTACGTACTTACGTACTTAGCACCCTGACATTTACAGTATTTTCTATCATTGACTGACCTTTGATTGCAATAGTATGTAAGTACAAGCGGAGTGCGGCCTTCGGCCACCCAAATGTACTGAGGAAATGAGGTGTGAGCGGTACTACGATAGTAATTTCTTAGATTATTGCTGTCATTCTGGATTGTTGGGTCATCCAAACGTACAGGCATGCACTAAACCTCATCTCCATCTCTCCTTATATGTAATCTATGATATATTAGCTCTAGTATGCACTCTAAGCCATTCAATGAGTAGCGTTAGTATGTACATGTAGTTCATGATAAAATGGTATCAGGGAAATTCGACCTTCATATATAAAAATATAGCTGTATTTATGTCAGTGTTTGTTCTTTTATATCCATCAATTGCAATAGCTACATACCTTTTAATGCCAGTTTCCTTCCGTCTCGGGAGTAGTTCTTTGTCGAGTCATGATATGCAATCAATATTAGAAATACATGTAGTGCGCTGTAACCAATAGGAGACGTTCCTGATGACGATGGGGAAGACTATATAGTTTAGATACGTCTTGCAAATCGAAACCACATATGCACAAAAGAGCCACGTATATTTAGATTAGACCACGTACATATGTTTATGCTACAATGTGATGTTTGCGCGTCTGGGAAATTCTCGTCTTATCATCAGACTCCGACACATGCCCCGTTCGGAGAATTCCCAGGCCATGGTGTGCTGAGAGTTAGTACATAAGTGTGTACATTTATGCACTCTACACTCTCTATCAAAACATCGGAAATCCCATGAACAAGTGTCCGAGAAACCTTAGTTTTCACTTCGCCCGAGATACCAAAAAAAGAGAAGAAGACTCGGCGAGTACATAACAGCATGTTACTAAGCAAAGCCAAGGATTGTCGGGTGAGAGCTACGCTCATTCGTGAAACCGTTTACAGTTTTCGCCGAAAGCCACCAGGGCAACAGATCATACTAGATCGCTAGGCGCGTCGTCCCGACTCTTTTAGGTGACTTCCAAGTTCCAACCTCAGTGTGGCCTGGCAAAAGGAATAGAGCGGCCTCCAGCAAAAAGAATGCGACAAACCCGGATTGAACGGGTGACCTCCAGATGGCACCCCGGATAAGAGACTTCAGTCTGGCGCTCTCCCAACTGAGCTATTATCGCAGTACAGATGAAGGTGGTCAAGCGTGGCCCCACACAAATCGTACTAGAGTTCTAATGTAGGCATGGGTGTATGGGTGTGAGGTGCGATCAGGAAAAGCGTGTGGTCCCGAGGCAGTGAATAAAGGTTGAGAATCTGGCAGATGTCAATTCTTGCTCCTCACTTGTGCCTTCGCCGTATTTTACGATTTCAAAACCGTGAGTGAGTGCAGCAACGGCGGTAAAAGCGCTGGTCCAAACCCAGCCCTCATCAGAAACGCTATACGTCAGGGTTTTCCACACGGAACTCAGGGCTTCGGCTGTAACGGTCTTGCTGCGGATGCTAAAAAGTCTGCGTCTTGGCAGAGGTCTTGAAAATTTGGTTGTTACATACAAAAATCTTGGCATAGAACCATCTCTCACCCCACCACAAGTTCCGACTCCTTCAACATCGCCGGCCATCTTACCACCATCATACAAGTAATAGGTTGACCTCTGCATTTCCATCCATGGCTATTAAACTCGTATCTATTAAAAACATTTTAACGTCCTTGGCCTCCCCCAATTGAAACCGCGACCAAAATGTAGCCAGCAGCAGCAAGCGTTCTCACGTCTTCCAAGTAAGGAAGATTTCAATGGAACCTCGGTTCTCCGTGGCGCAATTGGCTAGCGCGTTCGACTGTTATATTACTATGGCATCGAGAGGTTGACAGTTAAAGCCTGTCCGGGGAAGTAAATCATATACTTTTGCCTATTAAACAACAGCGCAGTTTTTCGAAATCACAAACCTTATGCAATCTTTTCTGATTCCTTATTTTTGCTCTAAGAGAAGAAAATCTCACAGCTATCTTGATGTAATCACAAGAAACTGAAATTAGATTTATTAACACCTAAAGAACAAGGAAAACAATGTGCTAGAGAAGCGCGTGCCCACTTGTCCAGAGTGAAACTATATGTACCTCTTATGCACTCTTCATGCCGATATTTCTTCGTTAAAAGTTCTTCCCGTTCGACGGCATCACCTATAAACTCCAGGGTTAGGGTAGAATGCAGTTTTCCATAGCAAAAGGCAAATGAACTTCACCAACAAAAAGAGGTTAAAAGTAATCGTATTAACGACCCCGACGGGACTCGAACCCACAATCTTTGCCAATCACAGCTGTTAACCGGAAAGCAATGCGTTAGCCATTACGCTACGGAGCCATGAAAGAAAATTTACTATTTGCTCTATATATTCATTTTGTACCTTGATTTGTTAACCATTCGGACTTTATTTTAGGAAATCTGGGATTATTTGAGTGCATGTCAACCTTTAGACTGGCAATTATTTGAAACGGGTATTGTGCGCGCAGTCACCCTTCGTTCAGGTGTTGACCATGAGGCAAGAATGCCAAGCCTACCGAAAACGAGTGATCGCCCATGATGGCAACCGGACTCAGACTGAGGCTGTTTTGACGTCAAGCGTGCTTCAAACTTAATTGAGTTAACCCACCTTATCCGTCCAAAGCCCCTATCATCATCATTGTCGACTCCCTCTGACTTCGGTGGTTCTTCCGATCGATTTTCTTTGTCCACTTGAAACTCTAGGTACAATATTCGCTCTTGCATGCAGACTACGAATTCTGTATTCCAGGCTGACGGACTATTCAGCACAAATGACACGGTGTTGACACACGAATTTTAGACGGACCAGATGAATTCGATAGACCTTGGGAGTACACGGTGCAACAGGACATTCAGCCTTCAGTAGCACTACTTCATCAAGTTACGATCCGAAATTACGCACAACCTACGCATCCATCACCGAGTCATTAAAGAGTTCGGCACGATCCCAAGATGTACAGTCAAAGCATAGGAGCATTCAAGAAGCCCAAAAGCTCTCGAGGACAGTTTAGGCAAAACACATTATTCAATTCCTTCATCTTGACTGTAGTTCAACAGGTACAAGGAGAAACTAAAAAGGTCACAATGATGTAATGCACTCCGACTCTTTATACTTAAGGCTCGTATGTCAACTCCTCCAGTAGCCATAGAGACGGCCTGATAGCTTTGCTCCAATACTTTCGCTCCCGTGCTTTCAAAACGTTCGCTTTCTTCCCCGTATCTTGACCATGGGGCGGTTTCTCCTTGAGATGCTTGTCAATGCGACTATCCCCCGCGATTATTTTCTCTTTTGGTTTGTTTACGCGTTCCCTGTCAGATAACAGAGTCATATTGAAATGCTCTATGCGTATGAGTTCTTCATACCCCAGTTCTTCACGGGCAACTCGGACAGCTTTCCACAACACCAACTCCTCAACACACCATCTAATTCTTCTTATCATGGCTTCGGTCAGAAATGTGTAATCTGGATCAACTAGAGATGCTCTAATTCCGAAGTTTTGGTTTCTGAGGCGCCAGTGATGCTGGGCAAACATTCCCGGATGAAGATGAGCAATGAAGTCATCAGAAGGAGTCACTAGTGGGGTTGTGACAGGTGGATGAGAGGACACCCTACTGAGATGGGTTTTGGATAATGGAAGTCGCCCCCCTGTAAGCTCCGATATATCGTAGGGGTAACTAGCAAGAACCTGTCTAGGTATTGGCGGGTGCATCGGGAGAGCAGGAACTGTGTTTAAAAGTGCCGGTAAAGTTGAAACCCTGGACGGTAGGATCAAGAGTACAATTGAATGCTTAAGCGGTGTGCTAATTACCGCGGTTGTCAAGCCAAATTGCTTAAGCAAGTACTTTTGTGTCTATAAAGAGTTAGGAGGAGGAGGAAATCAGAATCGGGTTCCTAAGAAAAATGAACACAAGATGTGGAATCACGTACCTCTCTACCGCTAACCTCAGCCATCACCTTCTCTCGACATCTCATAACATCCATTGTTTCCTCGTATCGTTCACCGCAGACACAGATACGCCTCCATCCCGGGAGACTGGAGTGGGCTTGGCGGCCCTCGGAAGGCGCGCTTTGATCCATTGCGTCGACCAAAGTCCTCGGTACATCTTCTTCATGCGCACTCAATATAACCTCTGTTTCAATCAGATTTAGTATCTCCATTGGAACAGAGGAAATTCCTTTCCTGTTAGAGTCAAAATCTTTCCCAGACTTGACAGTAGGAGACACCGCCGTGAAGGCTAGATCTTCAACCACTGTCTTGGGGTCTTCTATAATAAGAGGGGTAGACCCTCCTGATGCCTTATCTCGAGTTATAGTCTCGCCATGAGACAGGACACCGCAACCAGCAGCAGCATCTGGCACTGAGGAAGTAGCGAGCTCACAAGACGATAAATGGGTAGGGGAAATGACACGAGGAGGATTAGGGGCGAAGCAATGGCATCCACGCAATGCTCTCATGATGGGGAGGAGTCGTTGATGGGTTTTTATTGCTCGCAGCAGGTGTGTCGGATGTACAGGAATTCCCCAGACAAGTGAAGTTGAAGATCTTGCACAACGAGGCATGGTAAACGCAAAGTCAATTTAGAATCAATAATTAGAAGATAATTTCCTGGACAAAGAGTAGCCACAATTAGCTAAGCCGAGTGTGATTGGAGAGTCTTGGAGTCTATGGAGGAATTGTGGAAGAGAAAGGCGGTTGGATTCGTGTATTTAAGGTGTCGCGACGTAAAAGAAACACGTTGCCAATCATGAAGGGTCACTCGTGTGATGTAGACATCTTCACCAGATTTTTTTTTGACACCATCCCTTAGTATATGTGTCCCATTATTTGAGAAGTGTTCCGAAATGATATGTTTTGAGGATTTTATATGGTAGAATTAATAATAACGTTTTTGACCTGGTACCGTGTCAGACTAGGCATCTAGTCGTGTTAATTGCCGAGCCTTTTCGTCTTCAAAATTTGTCATATTGCCTATGAAACGATTCTAGGTCTGGCACTGTACTCTGTCAAGAACGTGACAAAGAGAAGTATTATTTAGCTAGAAGCGAATTTTAAATGTAGAGAATTGTGATGTTCTACTGCCCGATTGTCCTATAAAATCCGGCCTTGGACTTAGGTTGCCGGGACGGTTGTACAAGAAGGCTTGGCAAGACTGAACCTCTAAAAGATCGGCTTGAAAGCCGCACCAATCAAAAGCTGTTAATCACCACAAGATAGAGAGGAAAAAGAAGAACTCTCTGGCGGGGAATTGAACCCCGGTCACTCGCGGACAATGTTAATGACAAGCGAGTATACTAACCACTATACTACCAAAGATTGCTTCCTACACAAAACATAAAAGACAAAAACCAGTATTTCTTGGCATTGACAACTGTAGTTTACTGATCGCCGAACTTCACTCGGGGTGTACTATCTGCTGGGAGGCTCAAGGCTGCTGTGAGTTTTGATGGGCAGACTGATTTCGTAGCGAAGGCCAACTCGATGCATGGCACGAGCGTCAACCGGCCCGGTAGTGGGCAGCTAAATTCTGCTAATGAATTAAGCATATCTTAAGGATTAACTACCTGTAAGGATGAAACAAGAATCGAAGGAAGATTTATGTGGTAAGGAAGCTTGTAATGTTGTGGTCCTAAAGGGTTAGGTGATCATGAAGCTACATGTAAGTACATGTACCTAATCCGTTGTGCCTGCATCGGCAGTGGTCCTACTAGCCCCAGCTTCCATGCAACCACCGTCCACAATGAATTATGAAGTATCGTAGTAGAAGGGCATAGATTCATGTCCCTACTACACGAACACAGCGTACGTTCTTGGATTGCTTAAGCCTGCATGTTACCCGAGTAGGCTGTTTCGCGATTAGGATTTAACAATTGATACATGCAAGTTGGCGCTAGTGTGGCCTTCCATGGGGACTACTACATGTACCGCCACTCAGCAAAGTGTTCGTGATATAGTTTTAATGTCAGTGCGCAGTGTGGCGTGCCCGTAATACTTATGTTATTAAAGTTGAGATTCAAAACAACGAAAAAATATATAATATAGTTTGTGACTATATATAAAAAGAAGATAGGTCATTGATCTTATTCTTCATTAATTTAGGCGCCATTGGTCACTGGGAAAGTCTTCTCTTGGGGGGTTCTTGGTGGTCCGCCACGGTTACATATAGAGAAATGTCTCACTCCGAAATCGGAATCACGAACACTTTTGCAGAGTGGCTGTACATACATATATTTGTGGCATAGAAACAGCGCTCAACTACAAATATATGTGGCCACCAGAGCACCCACTTCTGTACATCTCGCCTAACCGCCTAAAGAATACGTATACACTTGTTGACCCGGCCCAGGTATAAATAGAAGCCCTTCTGAGCCATCCCTCCACCCCACATTCCTTCACCCACTATCTCGCTACCTTAAAATTCAAATATCCTACTAGTACTTCCACTTAATAACAACGACATCGTATCTCATCAAAGAATTTGACTAATACCCCCAAGTACAAAGTTCCATCCTGGAATCAATGAGTCAGGGGTAGAACTAATTAATAGAGGAATATAGAATATTCGATGACTAGTACCGGAGGCCCTAGTACTAGCACCAGTGGGTTGAAATCTGGGACAGGCTCCGGATCTACCTCTGCGAGGAGCGGAAATGCTGAAAACATGGACATCGATACCCCCTCCAGGAGAGATCTTCTTGCTCCCTTGGCCCCTCTCTACGAAACTGCAAGGAAATATCGAGCGGCCACCATGCCCACACTTGGTGGCAAACGGACCGTTGCTGCTGAAATGAAGGGTCTTCAGGAGGACCTTGAATATACTACCAAGTTCAATCAGAAGTACCTTGAAATGATCGTGAAGTTAAGGAGAGAAAATATCGAACTGGAAGTCGACCTCGCACTCTGTAAGGAGGACTTGGATGCTTGCAGGAAGGAAATTAGAACCCTCAAGGCTCAGACTGATTGGATGGAGGGCTTGTTCAAGAAGCCGTGAATCAAGAGACCCTAATTTATGTTTGCGGCTCACTATCCTTCCTCTGTCAGTATAATGTTATCCAAACAAAAACAAATCTGGTGTGGCTTTACTAACAGATCGCGTATATACTCTTACACAACAACAGATCTCCCATACGACTTCAATTACAGGGTGGCAGAATTGATAGACGAAGGAATAGCATTGATATCTCAAAAGATTACATCAAGAAGAGCCTTTGACGGAGAATGTATCCTGGGGCTTTTTTTCGTCTAGCATGAAATTTTTTCATACAGATTTGGCACTTTAAATAGCTTTTTCGGTAATAAAATGCTATTGGCAGTACTTGGTTCTCTACTCTAAGGCACCTCTTATTAGATATGTGACCATAGGAATGCATGCATTAAAGCCTAGTGTTTGATTATTATTGCGTGATTAATGAAAACATAAATATTATATAAAACTCATTTAGCTTAATCATACATACATTTATGTAACTTCTATCTGTCAAGTTAGGTGAGTTTCAGATCGAAGTAGGAATTTCAGTATCGATTGGCTGGAATATGACTACGTATATGCTTAAAATCATGATACGTACTTTATACACCATATACTCTCATCATATATGCATTTATGGGAGTTTTATTATATCCGTTCTATCATTAGTAGTAGTGACGTTATTATGTACATTTTCTGGTACATCCACCCCACAACCTTGATTGAACTAATTAATAGTGTAACTCCCCGACTTTGCGAGAATCTTTCTCTCATCGCTTTCTTACTACATCCCCCCTAGCTTCAAATGGGCCAATAAACTATAATATCAATTTCGTGTGAAATATGCACTACATAAACTACATCTATTAATGAGATTTACCCGATCCTGCAACATGAAATAAATGTGAGCCTGCGCACCATACAATATGATTATGAAGAGCTAGAGCTTTAGTTCGTCCCTTCGTATCATGCCTGCCGGAACTTGCACAACCTGATTGCATATAGACCTAACACTACGTGAGGCCAAGTAGTACAAGACATATATTCCGGTGCACCTCTTTGATAGCCGATCCCACAGCTTTACACAGGAGCCATGAGAGATTTTCAAGCATGAGAAGGCTTTCAGAATGTAACTTCTTCCTGCCTATTATAATGCCTTCCCAAGATCACCAGCAGCACAATATTCGTTCCACTCGAGCTCATTATATTAGGATTGCCGAATTTCGAGAGATGTCAGACACCAAATTCTGGTTTGATTCTTCGAGAGGATATTTCCTCGGCCCGGAATAGTAGTCTCTGAATTTATATGGAGTGCAAATGTATCCTTAATGGGATATTGAAGTAATTAAGACGTATATGGAAATGCGTCGAGGATTGGATTGGCTTCTGTATCGTGGGAAGTCCATAGAACTCTCGTTCCGTTCGTAGGGTCGATATGCTTTGGCTCTAACTGCGCAGCTGATCAGCTTCAATCCTCTTCAGTAGTGAGTCCGATGGCATACTGACACCCTCCGCATCGTCCACTGCGAGCGGCCCCGCCCAGGGCTTCGGACTGGGCTGTGATTCTGTTATGTGCAGGTTTCCTGGTGGTTTTATCGCCATCGACATCGTACTCCCAGTAGCTAGGCTGCTACAGTAAATTATAAAAGGTAAAGCCATGTTGTGTGCATCTTTTCGGGAGCTAGGTTTTTGCACTGGTTCAGCCTTAAGCTTATTGAATCCTCCTTTGATCCTGATGGTGCGAGTTGTTGCGCATGTCATCTGTTCAGTGCTCTGCATAGTACTTTAATGGATTCTCCGAGAACTAAATGTATTGAAAATGTACCTACGTGTGTAATAGTTGATGACAGGGATTAGACATCCTTCATGAAATATCTCTCGATGTTTATAATCGACAAAGTAATCATTACCAACGGTTCCCGGAATGAACCTTCGGAACTATGCAAATTCTATTTAGAGGCATCTGAGATAGAGTGACAGAATAGATTTGGTTTGTGTAAGGCTGGAGCTACTACTACTATGTAAGTGTATACTATGGGGTAGTAATGGCCGCGGACGAGATGAGTCTGGTGATTTCCCATCTCGTCCTACTGCTTGTAGGCGATGTGAAGTCCAGGGATCAAGTACTCGGGAATTTCAGATTTTAGACTTGAGATATATCTCGTCCTATGGAATCGAACCTCGGTCTCGCCAAGTCCCAGGATTCCGTACTCTTGGGGCTCCCGAGACGTCTCCTTTCGCGCCCCTCACTAATCAGAGATGCCTCTACCAGCTCTTTTTTACTCCGGCCAATACGTTTGACGGAATTCTTGTTTGCAACTTTCCCTGGCAGGTTCCCCACCCCGCGATCGATATCACCCCACAATATCACTCTGATCGACCGTTAATGTATATCTATCCTAGGCAAAACATATGACATATATTCTGGACCTGAATTATGTTTGATTTGATTGGGGGTGATGTATCCTCCCCTCTTCATCCTTCTTTAGAGCCCAGCTAAAACGCCCTCTCCAGCTCTCCTGATGATGTTCGTCCCGATTCCTCTACGTACATCACGTACATGGGCACCCGACAGAATAATCTGTGGCATAATCTCATACGAAATGAAACGCCTGGTAAAGGCTGTCATCGCAAAACAGCAAAAGAGCGCGCTCTCAAATTAATTCGACATATCCGGAATCGTGTGACTCCCGAGTATATATACAACAATCTCAATCTTCCACGCATTTGATACGATATCGTTATTCTGTCCGGCCGTTATTGCCGCTAGTCTCAAGAAGCTTCACCAGCATTGCGAAAGAACTTGATGAAATCTCGGCGGTGTCATATTACGAGTAGTTCGTATCGTCTTTAAAACAATATTATGCAGAACGTTTGTCACCACTCCAAGAATGGGATTTATGAGTGATACTATGATATCAATGCTAACTTTACTTATAATTCGTAGAATGGGTCCTTACGAAGAGCTGGGGACACCGAATTCAAATCACTTCCATTGCCATTCAGGGCACGTTAGGATTGGCACCTGGGCTATTGTGATTGTTAAAAGTTGGATTATTCACTGGCCGACTCGTTAGGGCAGGACTCATCTCAGATACAGCACAGCACCGACTTTCCGGCCGGGACAGACGGACAAGAATGGTTGGGATGAAAGATATCAAAACACGAGCTTGAAATCGATCTCGGGGCAGAGGGCCCTATATATCCAACTCTTTTCCCACCGGTGACATGAACTTTTATCGTTCACCTGGTTTGGCATTTATTTTCAAAAATACCAAAGTGCCATTTCTCACTGAATATAACGCAACAGCCAGAAGCCCCGGGGACCCACCTTACTGGGGCGCGGTATTCTATGGTATTGATACATTTACTTCCACTCTGCACTATGAGTACTGAACCTGGAGTCACTACTGGTCAGACGGAGAACTGGAGCAAACACGGACTACAATATGTCATGTAGACTAATTAAGAGCACCTTCAATTTTAGAAGAATAGTTAAGAACATATTGAAGACTGCTGAATAAAACTAGAAACTCACCTATGCATATTTATACAAGGCCACCTGAATTATAGAGGCATTTAATCCTCAAGTGACTAATAGAAATCAAAACCCGAGGAAGGCATTCACAAAGTTTACAAAGAGAAAGAACCGTAAGTTCATTTGCCTTTATTCTTACAAGGCTCACAGGTAACGAGATCGCAATACTTGCATTGCCAGATGACATAATGCGGTCCGGAGTAGCACAAGTGACACCTCCACAGCATTAGAGTGTTGGTACTCTTTTTCACCTCGAAATCGTGATCGCATGTAACGGCCTTCATGGCGTAGAGCGTTAATACAATAGGGAGGTTGTGAAGTGATTTTGGTGATTGTCAGCGATGGTACAGGTTATGGATTAGAGAGTTAGGGAATACTGCGTTGATCTGTGCGCCGGGGTTTATAAGGACATGGGCTAGGGACTTTCCATACATGGAAGGCGGAAGGGCGTTCAAGTGAATAATTTAGGTAGGCGATAGAGCGTTGTTTGATTGCCGATCGGTAATACTAAAATCCTCTTAATTCTATATCGATAGAAATGGGTAGCTTCCCGTGGGATTAATCACAAGTACTAAAATTCCATCACAATGTATGTATTCATCAGTGTACGCACTACTCTACCACGGCAGGAAATGCATCAATTGATGCATTTCCCATACGAAAGCGGCTTGCAAATGCATCAGTTGATGCATAAGCTTGTCGAGGCCTCAATAAATGCATCAGGCTACACATTTGCTGACGATTTTACCTACACCTTTCCCTACTAAGTACATACTATCGACGATTTTACCAGCACCTTTCCCTACTAAGTGTATACTGTCGACGATTTTACCTACACCTTTCCCTACTGTCGACGATTTTACCATCACCTTTCCTGGCCTATTGTCGACGATTTTACCTACACTTTACCTACGACTTTCCTGGTGAACATTGTCAATCAGTAGGGAAAGTTGTAGGTACTAGGTAATGGTGCAGGGAAAATCGTCGACAGTAGGGAAAGGTGTAGGTAAAATCGTCGACAGTATGCACTTAGTAGGGAAAGGTGCTGGTAAAATCGTCGATAGTATGTACTTAGTAGGGAAAGGTGTAGGTAAAATCGTCGACAGTAGGGAAAGGTGTAGGTAAAATCGTCGACGGTATGTACTTAGTAGGGAAAGGTGTAGGTAAAATCGTCGACAGTAGGGAAAAGTGTAGGTAAAATCGTCGGCAGTAGGTAAAAGTGTAGTAGGGAAAATCGTCGGTCCGCGAATACTACTGTTCTTGGTATTTCTTGTGTCTACTGATTATTGACTTAGATATTTTTGGATCTCCACTTCGGCTACATATACCTATTGAGTCAGCTTATACGTATTGGTTGTACTAGTAAGTGCTATATATTGAAAAGATATGATGGTACAGGTGGTAAGCTCCGAGTCTAACTTGAACCTAGATCATAATCGGAATGATTCAGGTTCAATCCCTCCACATTCATTTGTTTTGCATCGGGGCACTGTCAGGAGTGTTCTTCAGTATGATGCATTTACCAATCTCTTTACCGATGCCTTTACCGATGCCTTTACTGATGCCTTTACTGATGCATTTCAGCCCGTGATTCAGAAATCCGGCACTGTTTGCATTTCTATTTTCCTAATATAAGTATTTCCCAAACTCTTGGCAAAACGAGACTGTGATGCATTAATGATGCATTAGTTGATGCATTAATTGATGCATTATCCATACGTTTTAGGAAAAAGGCTTGATAAATTGACTGACGACTTTCACTGATGCATTTATGATGCATTTACTGATGCATTTTGTACCATGGTAGAGTGTGTATTGCATGCAATATACATGTATATGGACCCGTACCATGACTGGCCAGTCCAAGCCATGTAATACACCGAATGGAAATGAACATATGTAATTGAAGATATCGGGGATAGAATCACGTATACGTAAGCCCTAGACTCTAGTTCACCTAGCTCAAGGCCATAGAGAGTCCTCATAGCCACGGGTATATAGGCGCTGTTGCCAGAATCTACGGCATCGCATTGGGGTGACTACATATAGCCTGAGAGGAGCGGCGAAACACCCACCCATGCCTAGGTTAAGCCCAACCCATTATTGTCGTAAATATTACCTTATGAACCGATCGGTTAGTCCATCCTCGATCGTTCATAACTTAGTGATTTCTCTGTATCTTCCTGGGGTGCTTCTTTCCTACTTCTCATGTACACAGGTGCCTGTATACTAGTTCTTACACCTCCGCTCTTCGGGGACGTAACCTTACTTCCTCCCCTTCCCTCTTTTGGAGTGCAAACTGGAGTTATTTCCTTCTCCCCTCTATGGGAGGAGAGTCGTGGTCCTTTGGTCTCTTCCTTTTATTAGAAAGGGTGTGTGCTTTTGTTGCGCCCTATGAAGGGGCCAGGGGTTACCATTTTTTTCTGCGCTCAATCCTTCTGGATCCTCCCTTCGTTTGTAGGGGAGAATGGGTGGCCTTTTTGTGTTAATTCCCTAGGTCTGTGTCCCCACTTCTGCTATCCTCTCATCTTCATATGAAGCGGAGAGGGTTTATTCTCGAGTTAATTCGTCGTGATATTTCTCTTGTAGACTAGAGGAAAGATTTTATTTTATTGGAGAAACTCGTAGACTACTGGAAGTCATCCCACGGACACCTTTGAAGGTTTGTAGGCGTTTGAATGTGGTCTGCAGATCCCCCATGGGTGTCTACAGAGTTGTTGTGAGCTGTTTCTACGCAAGATCTGTAGTTTATCTTCAAGGCTTCAAGTTTGAACACCTTCAGAATATCTACGGGATGACTCCCACCTAAGCTTCAAATATACGATTTGGAAAGGGTTGAATAAACCTCTGTAAGATGGTTCTACACTTTGGCGGTGAGCTGTATGTGGGACTTTATGTGAAATCGTACATATAAAGTGAAATCAATGCCCTTCATTCGATATTCAGTAATATTTAATCGCGCATGTATAGATAATCGACTTCTATCATGTGACCTTTCAATTATGGAGACTCAATTGAATTGAATAATGTTTAGTAGGCCGCAAATCATGACCTGATAGATCTAATCTCAATCATCTAGCTAGTGGTGAGTAAATACTGGAAAGTGGCATTGAGAGGGGAATACATGTACATATTGAATGTTCACGTCTACGTCCCCAATACATGTAACCATATGGAGCGGCACAAAAATTAGATATTGTCCAATCCCCTCACTCCCTCAATCGCTACCCAGCCAAGTTCTCCTTACATCCCATCTTTTCACATGTGTTTCCACGACTCTTCCATACTCTCCACCACACCGGCTTCTTCTCTATCCTAGGTTCACTGTCAACCATATAATCTGCCTGGTTATGTTCCTCCACCTCCTCTTCATCGTCCGTCGTGATTTCCTCCTCCCAGTGACACCCCACATAGCAATGGGGGAACATATCCTCGGCGCTTTCCATCCAATCATCGTTGTCTATATTATCCCACCGTTGACCACAACACTGCCATTCGCTCACGTCTTCATCAATCGGCTTGCACTCACGAATGAAGTGCTCAACGACACAGTTCCCTAGAGGATTATCAGATGCATGGAATGTTTTATGACAATACACGCAATGGCGTAGTTCTGAAGTAGCCTGGTTGTAATGGACAATCAGTTTCGACAACCTCTGTTTAGTATCAAAGCCTATCTAAGTTAGCCGGTAGCTGCAATTGGCATACCTCAGGAAATGCGCCCGAAAGTATCAGCGCCTCCAGAGCAGAGCGGGATAGAGATTTTATGTGCTCCTCCAATTTCTCAACAGTGGGGTACCTTGCCGAGAGGTCGTCAATCACGGGATTCCGTGGCTTTGAAGGGCCTGGGCTTGTAGCTGGGGTTGAGTTAGTTGTTGCTCTCTTCTTGGCCAATGGGGCATCAGAATCCGATTCAGTTGATGCGTGCTTTTCAGCTGGAGCCATTGTTGAAAGCTAGAGAGAGTGTATTAACGATTGAGACGATGGATCGTGAACAGGAGGAGATAGGAGTATTTGTTACCCCATGGCCGTGCACACTGACCTCTTGCGTGTCAACCTGATGACGCCAGCCAAGAGTGTCCTTACGGTATTTTCCGGGTCAATGAGAAGCCTTGATAGTTGATGATATAAACAGCCTTGGCGTTATAAGGTTGAGCCCACTGGAGTCTCAGCCTGCTGTTCTTTCATTTGTTCAACTTGAAAAGCTCAAGCTTTCTAGTTGTTATTTTTCTACAAATTACCTTGAAACCGTACTAGTAGAAAGGTCGATAATATGCTTCAGTCATTTGGTTTAAAAAATCTTGGATATCAAACCCTAACCCTAACCAAGTCTAATTGCGGATAGACCAGTTTGCCGTTGGCCCTAGGGTGGATTCATAATGTTTTCAGTCCCATATAGCTCAAATTGTACTCGCCCTAATCAATACGAGTTTTTACGGTCTTTCACTATCTCTTGACGAATACCATATACTTGACGAACAGAGGTTTGGAACAGTTAATTCAGCAACAGCTAGTCACGCTACGATCTCCAGCTCTTTAATTTTATTAGAGAGGTTTTGTGCTCTCCGACTAGATAAATAGAGAGCTGGCTCTCAATGCTACATGCATGATTGGTTGATGGAGGATCAGCGCCAATCAGGTGACCGGAATTTGGAGTTGGACTGTTTTGCGCAAGTGTGAATTCAACAAAAACCTCGATTTTATCCGCCAGCAACTGATTGGGCTATGTATTATACAGAGTATTACATGCACAGTACCCCCCCTCTCTTTAAGAGCCTCCAAACCCGAAACACTATCACACCTTTGGCAAAATAAAATTTTATAACCTCAATATAGTTAGAAATGGAAGGTTTAGGTGCGGCGGCGAGCGTTATTGCGGTTCTCCAGATTACCACGCAGGTGGCATCGTTAGCATACGTATACGGGTACACCACGGGTGTCAAACGGGCCCCAACAAATCTCCAAGGGCTCATTGACGAGTTGAAATCTCTAGTCAAAATCCTCAGCTCTTTACAAAGCACCGCACAACATTCAAGTTCAGCTGTTCTGGGTCAATTATTCACCCCACTCCTAAACTACAGCATGGAGATGAAGAGTTTGAATGACAAGTTGGAGGCAAAACAGAAGAAACTGCAATCGAGTTGGTGGGGTGCCTCGTTCGTAAGACTTCAGTGGCCGCTCACAGAGTCAGAAACCGTTGCTCTCATTCTCGAGACCGAGAGATTTAAGCAGAGTTTGAATCTTGCCCTTAATATCGACTAGACGTAGGTGCCTCAGAGGTCAAAGACTAGTAGTGATAAAGAGCATTCCTAGTTGTAAGAGCTAACGAAAACTAAGTTCTTTCTTGAGAATAATTGAGGATACCACGCGAGAGACAAATGTAACTATGAAAGCGTAGGACATGGAGCGATCTGGTAGGATTTATCGATAGGCCATTTATCTACTTTATGAGCTAAGGGGTGGAAATATTTGAGCAGTTCAAAAACGAAACGCTATTCTCAATTGGATATCACCACAACCCTATGATGAGAGACATTTTGAGATCAGTAGTCGGAGAAAGCCAAACACAGGCCATTGGATTCTTAAGTCTCCGAAGGTACAAGAGTGGCGAAGAGGTTCTGGTTTACTTTGGGGCTATGGCATTCGTAAGTTCAACATTCTCAACTGAGGTTTCTCTCTGGCAGAATTCTGATTATACTTTGAGCTCACAGATGGTGCTGGAAAGACATTTTTGAGGTATTTGCCCCTAACATTATGTGCTATCTGCAAGCCTAACATAACCAATCAGTTCTCTTTTGATTGATAGTCTAAGAGCTGAGGCAAAGAGAAAAGGATACAGCGTAGCGCATATCTACTTCAATTATAAGGAGCAATAACAGACACCAGCAAGGCCCTTGCTAGCCTAGTCAAACAACTGGCCTGCCAAGCTTGCTACGTTCCCGACGCTCTTGAGCAGCATCATGATGAGCGCCAAGGGGGGCCACTTACAATTTAAGAGCTATATACATCACTCCTCGATATCTCAGAAAGATTTACGAAAACATTCCTCATATTCGACGCATTGGACGAGTGTGACCAAGTCAATCAGCGGAGAGAACTCCTACCGTTGTTTCATCGGATTTATGCTCATGGGCCTAAGATACACATGTTTATAACAGGACATGCGTATTCGGAGGATATTCAATCTTCCTTTGAGAAATCGTCAAAAATAAAACTCTGGGCAAAAGATTATGATATCGAAAGCTATGTGGACCAAACGATATCGGAGCATCCTAGAGCACAGCGCCTTATAAAGCAAGGACCCGTGGTTTATAGAAGCAAGATAATTCCTGATCTGATTGACTGCGCGAAGGGAATCTAAGTTTTACATCCCTGTAAACAAATAAACATAAAGGTTTATCATTAATCATAGGTTTCTTCTTGTTCACTTCCACGTCGAACATTTGTGCCAACAAACAACTATTCGCGAGATCTTGGAAGAGCTTGAAAGGTTTAAACGCTCAGTATTAAATGCAAGATGCCCACTCCGCCTAACATACGATAGAGCTATGAATATTATCAACTCTCAATCACCAAACTGCATTGAGCTAGCGATCAGGATTCTCTCATGGCTTGTCAGGGCTAGGAAGGTACTTACGGTCCATGCCCTTCAATTAGCCGTGGCGGTTGATCGTGACGGTGTTTGGGGAAATAGCCAGTGCTAAGCGATAATTCTGTAGCGTTTAAACTGATGATATTGTAAACCGGATTCCCTTGACTTGATGGTTGATGATACCCTCAAGTCTTCGCAGAATCAAGCCCTATTTATACATGTTGGAACCTATGCCGAGGCCCGCTTTCTAATACTAACTGATACAATGATAATAGAATGAGATAATGCTCCCGAAGATAACCCAGATAGAAAAGCGCCCCCGCATAGTTCCGTCCTCCCTTCTAATTCCGACACGTAACCATGAACCTTGCAATTGCCAGTCATCAGGCTGTACCATACTATTATCCTAGACCTACTTCCCTAAGTAGAACAGCCTACAGCCGTAAGCCCCGCTTCCTATTCTATTCCGGGTGAGACACCCAATAGTAAGCGTGCCGTCATAATAGTATAACACTAGTGTGGTAACACCGCGTGCCCCCACACTACCCGATACCTTTCTATGCTTGTCCTTGTTACCCGACCGTCCTCGCATCACAACCCGTCACTCGTATTCCTTATTGTCCTAAGCCTCTAGGACAGTATTCCGTAGTTCCTGTAACAGACGGTATTGGATTTGACGAGCTGGATCTGCATGACCTGACAACAATGCTGGATGTGTGCGCAAGCTTGGTTACCTACGATGAGAATATCTCCTCAATTACCCTACGATACGCCAGCATTCAGACCTAAAGGTCACAATTTCTTGCATACGATTTCTCTCAGATAAAAGATTTATGAAGCATTGGAAATATGATGTGTTACAAGAGAAATATCCTTTTTGGCACTATGCCCGCGATAATCTAATGTTCCATATTAGTCAGTGTGAGGAAAGCCTGACGATGGATCCAGTATTGGAATTTCTTAACAAACGAGGCTGTGTTGGCCTATACCTATACTACTCCGATGCGACTGGCGTTGGTTCGAGCCCATTAGCTGTAGCGTGTATGCTCAACCATAGTTTAGCCGCCTGGTCACTAATCGAAAAGGGTGAACACCTCCAATACCGTGGTGGGTATCGGCGCACTTTATTGCATTTTACGTTTTCGAATAAATTAGACAGATCCAAAGATTTTATCAAATATTACCGTGTGGAACGTAAGGCCGAGATCGTGTCTTTACTTTTCAACGCTGGTCTCGATATCTCTACACCTGATGAGGATGGCAAACAGTATTTCACCTTGCAGCCTGCACTGCGGGGTGCCGGTTTATATTAGGGTCTCTCGTTGAAAAAGGCGCAAGTATCTCAGTAGCGGACAACGATTGGAAGACAGCAATACACTACGCATCAGAAATTGGAGACTACGACTCCGTAATATACTTGATCGAGCAAGGTGCCGAAATCAACATTGGCTGTTCTTCCGGCTGGACACCCCTCCATCATGCAGCAGATCGTGGCCATTATGACATAGTTAGAGTCTTGGTGGAGAAGGGCGCTGGTATCAACAAGGCCGAGAAGTCCGACCGGACAGCCCCTTCTTATGCGGCCGCCAAAGCCTATCATGACGCAATTATATTTTTATTGGAGAACGGGGTCGATATACAGATTGCCGATTATAATGGGCATACACCACTTTTTCAAGCGGTACGCAACGACAACAATGACCTAGTTAGAACTTTAATATAGAACGACGCCGGTATAAATACCACTGATCGTCTTGGTCGGACAGCACTCCATTATGGAGTATGCAATGATAACCACGGGTCGGTAAAAATCTTAGTGGAGAACGGCGCCGATATAAACCTTACGGATCATCGTGGTTGGGCAGCAGTTCATCTTGCTGTATACGTAGTTGGAAGGGACTGTCATGATTCAGCTGGATTTTCAATGGAAAATGGTGCCGATATCAGCATCAATCCAGCAGCGTGCTGTGACAATTATGACAGAGTTAAATCCTTAGTGTGGATCTACGACTACATCAAACGTATCGACTATACAAGCCAAACAGCACTTCATTGTGCTGTGAATTCTATACGGGAAAATGAACATGCTCTTGCATACTTGCTTAGACAAGGAACCGATTTCTCGACCGGGGACCAGTCTGGTCAGACAGCCCTCCATATCGCAGCATACACTGCGCATTATCCCTCTCTTCACTCCTTACTGAGCAATGGTCCCAGTCCCTCTTCAGTGGATATCGAAGGCTGCAACGCACTTCATTATGCGATTAAAGGCCTTAGATGCTCGGAATACATCGCCTACTAATGTATTATGGCACGAGCCCCTATGTACCAAATAAAGAAGGGAAAACCCCACTTGATTACATTTATGAACTAGAAATGACTAAAACGCGCTCAAACTATGACATTAAGGCTTTAACCAAAGAGCCCGATAAGAAAATATCGATCCATCTCCTCGAGGTTTCTTAACAAGACAAACAGTATTCTGAACGGGGAAACATGTACGTGTATATTACTCCTCTGATCTTTACGAGCCGGAACCTGACATAATTGTCCAAAAGCTCTAGTAGTTTGAGTTATACGATCGAATGGCAGCCAGGTGTTAGGAGAAGGATAGCGGTTTCCTTTTAAGTTTTCTTCTGTTATATATATATATATCGTCAATCAATGTGGCTGTTGGGTAATATTGCCGTAGGCGGGTGTGGGGTTAACTACCTCACGGGCGGATCTCAACTCAGTGTAAGGCAATATCTAGACAAATACTGGTTAGACAGAAGGGGTATTTGCTGAAGATAAATTGAACCGCAAGAAGCAACATAACCATATTTTTTTTTTTTTGTTTAATTCATTAATTGCATGCAACTTTACAGTTATGGCAATACCCCTGAACTGCCCCTTCTCCTCCGCCTCCTCTCACATATTCTTGACATAGGAAAACAATGCCCACGAAGCCCTTTTCTTATTCTATTCCTCATTCCCTGCATCTTTCAGCATCCCCCACCCATATCCTAGTTCTCTTCTCTCCTCTTCTTCGTTCTCTTCTTGTCCGTTTCTCTCACATCTCCACTTAACAAATTGTTTCCAAATTTTTGTAGCCGCTTCGATACCACTTGCCTTCCAGAGGAGTTTGACAACCGTATTATGCTCTTTAAAGGTTTTACGGGTTTCGGCCGTCGCATCGCATTCGGTGAGTATATGGGTCACACTTTGCTCTCCTTTGCCGCATTCGCATTCAGCACTTTCGATCTTTCCTATTCTTTTGAGGTATCTGTTGATGGCTATATGACCTGTTCTGAACCGGCTGATGATAACTCTATCCATTCGGTCCGTATCGTCGAATTTGATAGTGTTTCGCTGCGATGGTTTGAACAGCGCCTTTTCCTTGTTCGCTCTTGTCTCCCACTCTGCCTCCCATTCTCTTATTGTTTTCTCTCGAGATTCTCTTTCTAGGAATGCAAAAGAAAGCAACATAACCATATCATTACCATGCATAATATTATAAACACAAGGACTTACTAACAAACCCACCGCCGCACCACCACGATTAATAGCCTTCCAGTTTTATACACATCCATGGCCACCAACGGTATACAAGAGGAAACGTCTGGTAATGTACCCCTGAGGTTAATATACGACCTTTTACATAGTTTAGTCCAGCTACTATCGCAAATTATCGATATATTATATAGAAGCTGCGGCAGATCTCAGACTGAAGCAAATTTTTCTAGCCTTTAATCATCAGAAAGCTTCAGATGATTGCCCCAAATATTTGGTATTGAGGCACAGCGTTTGTAATGGTGTTCAAATATAGCCAGCGGTTGCGGATATCGTTTTTAGATTTGGGTTCTGTTATTCTTGAAGCTTCTGTAGCAAGGCATGCTCTAGACAAGTACTTTATATCGAATCTAGGTTGGTTAGCATAAAATATACAATCAGCATCGCTCGCTCAAGAAAAATAGGACGGCTTCAGGTATTATTTCAGCGAGGTAGGTTAAGGATTATAGGTGGGGAGCTCGGTGTCACTGGCGAATGATCCGTTCCGGCATTTGAAACACCCCCCCGTTTTTGATCCTATAGGTTTCGGAACTAATCGAAGGCCCGATCGAGCCAGCTAGTACATGTAGCGTATGTCAGCGCTACATGTTGTTGGGGCTAGCTTCCATCATGACAAAGGTGAACACGTTACTACATGTATGTTATCAACCTCCCTATGTCCACTTTTCAGTGATTGATTCCCGCAGTACACAGGCAAGAACGATCAATCGTCCATATATTGCTTCTTCCAAATTTCTAAACCCAAAGATCCTGCGTGCAATTCTACCGGCAGTACATGAGTATTTCGCAGTCATACCTGAAAAATGCTTAACATGGCCCACTACTGGCGGCTTCTAGGGATTTTACTAGCCTCTCTTCCTATGGGATCCGTCCACATCAATGCCGTCCCCTTGGACTATTCCGGTGAAGAGAGGGACCATGACTCATTGGATAGCCCAGTTGCCCAAACCTCTCTACTTCACGATACAATCAGTATCAGTCTGAAGGATCAGAAGTTGTACTTTTCGGTACGACAGAAAGATTGGCAGAAGGTGGAAAATATGGATTGGCAAAAGGTGGAGAATTTCGACTGGCCTAGGGAGGAGTACATTGATCGACTAGAGGTGGATAAGATGGATCTCAAGTACCACCCAAGCACCACAACAACGACAAGGGTGAGGGTGGTAACCGTAGTAGTTCCCCCACCGGAGGATCACTCGGTTCTACCAACAACACAACCCGAAATCACAAGCGAAGTACCTAGTGTTGATGGTATAAAAATAGTTGAGAACACTTGGGTACCTACAAAAACACCGACAGTTGGCAGCACAATTGTAGATGACAAATTATTCGTACCGTGGGGCACAAAAAAGCAAACCTCCACTTCAACTTTGGTGACTCGAACTTCTATCCTCTATGTTATATGCTTCATCATGGCTGTTTCTGTTCTCTACGTCATCGGCTATGGCCTCTACACTGCCTTTACAAGGTGCAAATCCTGGTTTACGTCTTGTTTTAGGGCGAATCTTGATGAACTTTCCCCCGTACGGCTGGAAGAGAGTGCCGGCGTTAGTTGGACCGATGGGAGTAATCTAAGTTCCCCCCAACCGGGTGTCCAAGAACTGGAGGAGCGGGGAGAGTCTTGGGCAGAAACTAGGGTCGATACGAATAGGTTAGGTATTGTAGAGGCTTCCGGCACTGCGGCGATGTTGGCATCGGCTACGGGAACAATTAGGAGACATAATATAAGGAGTACTAGTCGAGGGGACGAGGTCCTCCATGAGAAGGAATAATCAACTCGAGGAGCACCACGTTGAAGGCTTTGTGTATTGGTGATAAACCAATGTCAACAACTCCCCCGAAAGACATCATTCCACCTACCGAACGCACTGGCTTTCATACATAAAAATAAGTGTCTATGATCAAACTCTTCACCGGACTTCAGTACATCAGTGTTACATGGACTTCTATTCTGCCGTTCATTCAACTGTAATTAAACTTATCATTTTTTGGAGAGAGTCCCGCTCACAACTACATGTACTACTTCATCAAGATTAATACTACGCTTGAGAATTCACTTCCCATGGCGCTTATCTATTCAACGTTGTATCATGTTTTGCAATGCAACCGAAACATGTGGGATCGAAAATCAGTTTTAGGAGCGAACAACCAAAACCATGGTTTGATTCGACATCGTGACGCACGCCACCTGATAGATTGGATGACTAATCAGACCGACCGCAAATTTCAATGGAGGGACATAGTCGAAAGGTAGGCGGAATTACGTAGCCGGAAGAGCTGGTTTATAGCGTAGCTTCCCGCTTCATATAGTAGTTGCAAGTGTTATCACAATCACGCACACAGGTTTATTCCTCCAATTATTTACTTTTGCATCAGCTCATCCAAAGTGAATGAGGATAAAGCGCAGCAAACAGTGTCTAAAGTCAAACGAAATTGAACTATAACATAAGTCTTTTCGACTAAATTTGTGGTCAAAGCACGCGGCGCACACTCAGCGGAACAAGTTCAATTGATCAAAACTCGGTGTTATATGGGGGCCAAGAGGGGTGCCTGGATAGGTACTGTTAAACGGCACTGTTGAACGGCACTGCACAACGGTATGTATGTACCCATGATGATCATGCATGTCATGCATGAATTACCTGTATTTACACGCCGAGACTCTAATGGACATCGCAGTAGTTTCTAAATATCACACAGATACTGGGGATCGGTGCCAACCCCCGCGCGCCCGTCTAGTGTGGTGTGGTACCAAGTGCATGCGAGAAGCTGAAACGTTCACTGGTCAAGTAGAGTCTTACTGGTAACCGCTGCACACGCAATATGGGGTTCTCGCACAATACATCACTCGTCGGGTTCGTAAGACTATGCCCGATGGAGATAGCATACTTGGCATTCACGAGACATCACTCGGCCACCTGTATCTCCGAGCGCATAAAAGCGCGCCTGCCATACCCATTTGATATCATTCTAGTTTACAGAAGTAAGGTTGGGAGTATTACAGTCATTTTAAGGCCACAACCCTTCCATACGGGCCACTTTGTGGACGAGTGATCGTTTATGAAGCTAAAATGCGGCCATGATTTCGTGGGGGTGCTTGTTAGATGTGGGTGTGCTGTCAAATATTCTGGCCTTTTGTTGTACCTACTTTAGTTGACAGGGACCGATATTCCTCAAATCTCTCCGCACGTGGTCCTACTTGTTGATATGGATCTATGGTATTCAGTCAGCTTATCTCTTGGACACGTTGGCATATATTACCGGCGCTCAGAGAAGTTCACGGGATTGCTAAATCTGTTCATATTTACGTACACGCCCCAGCCTGTCCTCGTGCGCCCAGGCCCCTAAATTAATTAACTTTGTAACTCGTATCGTGTTATTATCCATCTAAGTCAAGTGTCAGTCTCGTGTTCATCCCCTACTGACAGCTCAAGAACGAGCCTAGTTAGTATAAAAAACTGCTAGGTGCAGTGTAGTGCCAGAGGGTGGAGATATCGTTATGAGCACTGAGACACATTCTGACTCTAACTAGTCCTGATTATGGGCTAAAGTTACGATCATGGCCATCCCTAATATTAAGTCAACGTCCCGCATTTATAATTTATGAGGAGAGTTAAATAGAGATTGGACCACGTATAAAGCCAACTTATTCCTTTGCGTTTGAATTCGAATCTGAATATCACAATATTGAGCTCCAGCGAACATTTTCGCACCTAGAAACTTCTACCGGTACTGTTAGACTGAGGTGTTGATCACTGTAGTCTGAATTCTGTCGTGCTTTCCCAAACTGCGCTGCGTAGATACAATTTCTACTGATTGATTGGTCCATCTAGGCCGTACAGCAAGCATACAGAGAGCGTGGCAAGGCCGGAATCTGTTTCTTTTATGTGATTTATTTAAAACGTCACGCCAGTTGCAACTCAGTGAACGAAACACGGCGTCGGCCGGGATTCCAAAAGTATCTAAGGAATCGAAGAACGGCACCGGGAAGTAAACAATACGCGATAATAGGCCTCGGGCAAGCGCGAGTGGAAGAAAATGATTGGTCTAGACCCATTCGAAGTCATATGTACATGGAATCTACGTGTACCTAATCTCTTTGTTTCAAGGGTAAGGAAATGTGCATGACTGGGCTACAGGCTGTGATTGGCTAGGACCCCACGACCAACTTTTATCTCCAAGGTTCGGGATATTTTCTAATTGGCTTTGCTGTCATAACAAGCTTTGCATATATGACGTCGGGGGAATATATAGGAGCCCTGATCGCCCGCCGCAATGGCCACAGCGGCGAAATGGCTGCAATCGGCCGAAGTAAACACCCTATCTTAAATCTACATAAATACCTACCATGTTCACCGTCATTTCCAGACAATATCTTCTCGGCCGCTACCCTCGCAATAGGGTGTGATTATCTGGGGGCAGCCGAAGGACTTCCTGTGTTCTTGTGCTTTGCTTCCATCGCTAATTCATAGTCTTTATCATCTGGCTTCCGTATCGCTTGTCACTCTGCGATCAACGACCGAGTGGTCAATTCGAACGGAGAAAATTAGCCGCATTCCGTCAAATCATCACCTAGATTATTTCTTCAATATACCATTGATATTTCTCGTTCACTGCTGGTATCGGATAGGTGCAGAGGTTATGTTGAGAATTTGTGGGCCCAGGGGGGCAAGTGGCCGCAGTCATGCATTGCGCACTAGACTGCGCACACATTCCATGCATACATGTGTCAAGCGGTATCCCAACACCTTAAAAAATTGATAGGTACGGATTCGTTTGATTGATGGGGCCCCTCCAGATATAGAGTCTATTTCAAGAAAGGTGCTAATATTGGTTTGGGAAAGAAAACAACCAACGTACTAAAAGCCTTACAGTACCAGCTAGGCACTCCCGCAAAAACGTGGTAGAATACGTGTAACGAATGAATTCATATTGCAGATCTCAACCCTGTATGTAACCGAAACATTCTCTGAATAACAGGGGCTCACCGTTTTCATACCATAGGATGCAGTTTTCTATCGACTTAGACATGCATACTCTGGTGTTACAGAAGATTCCTCTTGTACGAGTGAGATTCCAGGAGAAAAAACCCATTCTAGGCCAAATAGTCCTCCATCTCGATGTATTGGTCACACTATCTCCAGATATTACGAGGTTAAATAGTAGATTTGATTCTCAGGTATTAACCTGGTAAAGCACGTCGTCCACCTGAGTGTGCTGGAAAAGATAGAGTACGTGTTCAAGTTCCATTTACTGCCTTGATTAACTCTAAAATATTAGGTCCTTTGTCTGGAGGGGGAATCTGCGCGCACATATATACACGATTGCAGAGCTCATGATCTAATGGTTCATGCGTCCAATCTACTCATAGATCTCATCTTGAAAGCAGGGAGACTATGTGCGCTCAGAGCACCAAAACAACATGATTAGTACGTCTCATGGGTGATTACTTTTTTTCCCCTCGAACTTGGGGAGATCAAGATCGTAATCTCGGCATAAAAAATGAGCGCCGGGGATATTGCTTCTCCTACACCATGCGCTAAAGCTTATGTTAGGCACAATCTAGCTGTGCAAGGCGGATCTTTAGCTACTAGCACCTACACATTTCATATCGCAAAACCTTTGAAACTTTCACGATCCAATTCAGAGACCGGTCAAGTCGAGTGACCAGTCAAATCGATCCATTTCAATTGATGATGCAATATTGGCTACCTAACGACATAAAGAAGAAGCCACGAAGCCTACATAGTGTGGAGGAGAAGCAGAGCTTCTTTCTCTCCGAGTTCAGCCTAGGATCAGATAGGTGTCTAATACATGACTTCTCACTGCTACGTGTAGTTAAGAATCTAAATCGGAGCTAGATTTTCAAGGGAATATTGATTTCGTGGGGGTTATCAGGGCGAACATGTGAGTCTTGTGCGCCCCCCGTGAGATGTCGGCCACGTTTTCAGAACTTTGGGATACATCAAAACCCCCGCCGACAAATGAGATATGATATGATCACTCTTTGAATTCAACTCAGGTGTCTATTGGATTATTATACATCTTCAATGTTGAACGGACATTATCGGGCGATTTGTGCTCCTATTCGAGGAATCTTCACTCAGTTCTACAGCTTCCATGGGCCAATTAATGTTCGGGTGTGAGCAATATCATGTAACGTATTCTACCGTGGAAATGATCAACACCGGGAAAGTGACTAAGCAGGACCCGATGTTATTATACTATGATTGCGCCTATAATTGCTACTTATGTGCTCTCAGCTTCCTCCCAGACCTCGTACTAATACTACTTTCTATACTAGGGACTTCTAAACTTCTTCTACTTGTAGTTCTATCTATATATGCAGGTGAGACCTCAAATTCTTGACCACCCTCGCTAGCTGCACCCTCATCAGTAGAGAAACCGTCCCCCTCCTCAAAATGCACAATAGGAGTTCGCTGAGATGCCTGTTTGGCCGGGTTTTTCTTCTTTTGAATTCGGGGTTTGTTCTCTTCCTGTTCCTCCTTTTCTTTTTTCTTGAGAGCGGCCCTGACCTTTTTCTCATTTGCGGCCCTATCCTTCTCTTCCTGTTGTGCGCGCAACTTGAGAACACAATCTACAGTTACTACTAGTGCTTTTGAGAGTACTTTACGGCTTTTAACCTTTGTCATATCTGTTTGTCCCCGCTCCCGTAACCTCTTGAGCTCCTCCCGCAAAATGACATTTTCAGCACTTGATTGCGCTGCCGCATTGGCCAGTTTTTCAACCATAATTTGACGGTATGCAGATT